TTTTTTTTTTTTTTTTTTATTGATAAGCTAGCTAATTAATAAGGTTTTAATTATAATACATGTTTAATAAAATTAATAATAATTAATTATTTTGTAATTACAATAAAACAGTTGTCACCATACAATATTAGTGTTACTCTGTGTTTACCTCCCGATACAAACACACCTGGATTTGAAAATGAAGAAAAATCTAAGCCTGTTATCACAAGATTAATATCAAAAACAGCTGGATTGTTTGAACCTGATGTTGTAGCAAAACAATTAATTTCTGATGCTTTGGTGACTATAAATTTTTATATCTTTTTTTTTTCAATGAAAAATACATACTTAAAATTGAATTTTCTTTTTTTATACAGAACCAAAGATTCTTCAGTGTTGTTGGATTTGAAAGTACAATATTAACCACTCTCTGCTCAGGAATGAGTCCTGTGAAACCTGTTATTGATGGAATATTTCAAATACTCTTTATGAGTTTGTTAAAACTAGTTTCCGTCGGATACTTTTTTTACTTTAAAAAGTTAATTTTAAATCATGTTAAGCCTTTTAAACCTGATCCTAATGAACCCACTTTAAATAAAAACAAATGAACAAATTAATTAAAATCTGATACAATTAAAATATTTTTCTTACAAATTGTAAGAAAAATATTTTAATTGCTATTACCATTTAATTAACAAACAATAAAAAAAAAAAAAAAAAAAACATCAATATTAATTAATTTGAATGTAGTTATAAAACTTGTACTGTTGCTGTAATACAAATATTTTTAAACAAATTATCAATATAAATAAAAAAAAAAAAGAAAAAAAATTAAAATATTACAAATAAAAAATTTTAATTTTTTAGTAAATTTAGTATTTATTATAGTAATGTAGAGTGATTTGTTTTCAACCGCAAATCCGGCATTTATTTATTTTTTTTTTATGAAAAAGTTTTATTAAAAAAATATAATATTAAAACACATAATCAAGTTTTTAATTTTAAATATTTTTAAATTTCCAGACTTGGAAAGAATGAGTATAACATGTTTTGTTTATTTACCTAAAGAACAATGTGAATTTTAAAAATTTTCCCTTGTCATGTTTGATTTTTCATAATTATTTCGTGTTTTAAATACATT